ATCGATTAACAATCAATAACAGATTGAAATTGATTAAGAAGTGATAATAGATTAAAATTGACTAAAATGTAATAATAAACGGACACAAATTCGTAGGCAATGATAGATTGGAGCAGATTAACAAGTAATAATATTTTGAAAGAAGCTAACAGGTAATAAGAGGTTGAAACCGATTAATAGGTAAAACAAAATTGAAACAGATAATTACCATGTAAAAAAAGACGGAAAATCTTATATGAATCAATCAAAATAGGACTGAATTGAAATATGTGAGGGTTTTAGCCATGACTATTTTGCAACAAACTTCAAATTATAATCGATTCAAATTTTGATTTTGTTCCAGAATAATCTGTTTACAACTTTCGATTAGCCCCCCATGTAAAAAATTTACTATAGGAAAAAATTGAAAATCGGATTAAAAATCGATTATAATGGCACTATTATAATCAGATTATAATCCGATTTTTACGCTTTAAAAGACAGATTTCTTTGAACTTAATCTTTTTCAATCTATTTTAATCGATTATTAAAATTAAATCGATTATAATTGTTTAAAAAAAATCGATTTTAACTAAGCAGACTTGTCTAATCGATTAAAATAGATTGAAAAAGATTAAGTTCAAAGAAATCTGTCTTTTCAAGCGGAAAAATCGGATTATAATCTGATTATAATAGTGCCATTATAATCGATTTTTAATCCGATTTTCAATTTTTTCCTATCGTAAATTTTTTACATGGGCCATAGGACCTTAAAATTATAATTGATTTTAATTGCTAAAATTTTCCACTGGGTCGTGCTGGTCACAATCTTATTTGAAGATCCGGTTTCGAGCTGATGTGTCATTTTCCTCTTAATTTAAAATAAATTTAAATTATCGATAATTTAATAAATTTCTAATTTGAATTATTTGCACTTTGTAATTCAAAATATGAGATATGTCCTACAGCACCCATGTAAAAAAAAGGCAGACAAAAATCTAATTGTAATCAATTCCTTTGTGATTAAAACTCAGCTATAATGGCATCAATATAAATCCAGATTTAATCAGATTTAAAATAGAAAATAATCAATTTTGCTGAATAATCAATTATAACAGATTATTTTCCAATTTAAATCTGATTAAATCTGGATTATAATAGTACCATTATAATTGATTTTTAGTCACAAAAGAAGTCGACTAATCTATTCTTATCTTTTAACTCATTTTCATTGATTACTAGAGTCAGAAAACCTCATGCTGCCGGAAGAAAAAATCTTAAGAAAAATGTTGATAACTTGAATATACCGACGTCGTACAAAACTAAATATCAGTTTTCTTAGTAGCCTAAACATTTTCCTATCGATTGATATGCGATAGATTAAAAAATAACTAGCATACGCTTAGTAATAAATGTCAGTGTAGAACGGACTCAATTTTCATCCAATTCTTCTCTGGTTGTTGATCTGTCGGTCAATACATTTTTTCCCCTACTTCTACTGTTTGTATGTAAGATGGCAAGGAATCTCAGAACAACCTCAATTACGTATTCTAAATGACTTTTATTCTAAATAAAAACAAATAGCATTGGAATTCTCTTGATATGGCGTATCGAGTGATGTTTTTCCTAAAAAAATCAAATACATCTTGTTTTTCATATCTTGAATACAAAAATAAAAAGTAAAAGAAATCGTTTTTTAGCTTCTTATATTACCACTGCGTGTATTTTATTTTCTTATGTATGCCGATCAATGTATTTCTTGTTTCTTATTCTGCCGAAAAGTTAAAAAATTTCGTCAAATTGCTTAAAACATGATTCGATTTCTCATCTGATGAGGATTCGAATGGTATATTTTTTACTCAGAATAAAAGTCATTTAGAATACGCAATTAAGATTGTTCTGAAATTCATCGCCATCTTACATACAAACGGCAGAATTAGGGGAAAAAATGGATTGACCGGCAGATCAACACCCAGAGACGAATTGGATAAAAATTGGCCCCGTTCTAAAGTGGCATTTATTAGTAAGCATCTACTGATTTTTTTCCATCAATTGCATATCAATTGATAGAGAAATGTTTAAGCTACTCAGGAAACTAAAGTTTTGTTTTGTAAGACGTCGGGTACTCAAGTTATCAACATTTTTCTGAAGAGTTTTTTTTTGTTCCAACAGAATTAGGTCCTCTAACTCTACCTTTTAAGTAATTTTCATCTATTATAACTCTTTAATCTATTTTAATCATATATACCGAAGATTAGTGTTTTTTTCTGGATTCGAACACGAAATCTATAATTTCCCATGATTATTTGGATTTCTCGTGTTTGCAAACCTATAAAGTTTCTACTGAAACAAAGTCACCAAATATAGTCAAATTGAAACTCCTATTTAAATTATTTCAAAAAGGGATGGCGCAATTACATTGAAAATCAATTAAAATCGATTAGAATAAAAAATAATCGATAATAAAGGATTAAAATAAGAAATAATTGATTGACATCGATTGAAATAAAAAAGTGACATAAAAGTGATTTTAACAGATTATTTTTCAAATCAATTAAAACTTATTAGATTTTGTGGGACTCTTCTATATTATGGAAGTGACTTGTGAGTATAAATTTGCCAAATTTCAGAAACCAAATCCAAATCGCAATTGTTTTCGAGATTTGTTGCACCCCTATTTAAGCACTTCTCAAAGTAGATCAAAGTACAAAGTATTCTGTTTTCCTTTTGATTACAGATTATTGAATGTGTATGCATATCAACTGAAGGCAGTAGGCATCAGAGTTCTTTCCAAGAGTTGCTTAGAAATAGGACTAGGCGTCATAAGGCATTGACACTAATACATATAATGTTCTAGAAAATTCTACAATGTTCCAGAACCTTTTTCGAAATTTTAATGATTCGAATACATTTGTGTACGTTTTACCTGATGTAATTTTTGTTTTCTCCACATAAAGATTTACAATGTAAATGCAATTGATACTGAGTAGTGATGCCTTGGTTGAAAAGTGTAATCTTATGATATACAGAAAAAGGGAGAATTGATTTGGTTATAACTTCAATTATAATGAATATATTTAAAGTCTGTTAAAATCCATTCGATTTATAATCGATTATTCACATTATTAGAAGTATAGCAGACTTAACTAGATTATTCTTACATTCAATCATAACTGGTCGTACACATAATGTCAAACGAAATAGGTTATTTTAGAAATCGATTAAAACCAATTTAGTTTTTCATTGATAATTTAGATTATTCCAAATGGAGTAGATTTTTATCGATTATTCCTGCAATCGAATAAAATCGATTGAACTTCTAATCAGTTATTCATATTTTCGCCGAAAAATTGATTTTAATTGATTATTTTTTTAAAACTTAATCCGGAAGTGGCACATTCAATCAATTTTTTTCTGATTATCATGTAAAAATCAATTAATCTGATTTTTCGACCGTTTTTCTTTTACATGGGTGTATTTTATTAAATTCGAACTGTTTGAACTATCCTCACTTATAATTGAGTGCAAGTTAACCTAGGGTGGGTGTGAGTGTTGACATAGTTAATATCATAGTCATACCAACACCGACACACCCACATCCCCACCCATACTCACACCGGCACCCACCCACAAAACTAGATTGAAAAATGGTTAAAGTCTGGAGAAGAAAAATCAATACAAACATATCATATTCACATCTTCAAGTAGTTTAGTTTAAGTATCTTCATGAAATTGAATTCGACGCGGTCGGTACTGATACTTACCTTCCAATCCTTACGCAAACACCAACAAATAGCCGATTGCGTGAATCGATGACCAATTACTTGTTTGCAGTAATCTTTTGTGGAAGGAAACTTGAAATAGAAGAAAGATTTCTTCCGCTTAATCCTCTAGATCAGGTAGTTGTTCTCAATTATGTTCGTGAAATATACTGATCAATAGATGTTAACTTCATCGCACTATCAGACAATGAGAAATCACTAGAAATTTGGAAAAAATCTCCTTCGTCTAATAACAAAATTCTCTTCTCGAAACTCATCTAGACTTATCAATCATCTACGAAAAACATGAGAAGCCTGTATCAATCAAAGAAAAGTTAGGGATGTGGTGTGGCTATGGAGTGAGTGTGGGTGACTGAGGATGTGAGAGTAATGTTGGATGTCGAGTATGCGTATGAAGTGGCTGTGACTGAGGTTGTGAGTGTTTGGGTATGGAATTAGTGGAAGCGTGCTTGTGAGAAGAGAGCAACACCGAAATCACACCCACATTCTCATTGTTCTTGGTTTACTGTTATGATAAATGCAATATTGTAAGAAAAAAATCAATATTCAAAAGGCTTGTTGTTCTCTATAATCACTTGTGATTTCATTTAGTTCTTATTTTAAAAGGATGACTCGTTTTTCAATTTTTGTTTGTCAAATGCAACAGGTTGTTTTATTCAAAGAGGCCAAACGTTTTGTGCTTCTTTTCTTTTTATTTTATGTCTAGTTATAGTTTTAAGAATTAAAACTATTCAAGATCAGTTATATGACTCACAGTATGATCAATTCCATTTTGTATCAGAGCCTATAAAGTTTCAAAGAAAAATTTCTCAATATTTTCATTACATGTATGCTATGTTCTTTCTACTAGTAAGACTTTTTAGTTTTATGATATTGAAATAATCGATAATTCAAATGATCACCACCATCAAACTAATAAATATTGGTGTTTTGTGAATCGGAAAATATTTCTTTCATTTTTATTCTTATTTTTGTTAGTTACTGGCTCAAATGAAGTGTAAATATGTGCACCTATCAGATGACTTTTTTTGTGATTTATTAAAATGAATTGAAGAACATACAAAATGAGAATTTTATGTTGTAGTTATTTTTCTTTTATATTCTTTAGACATAGTTTGTGTGTTTTGTCAATAAAATAAAAATAAGTACAATGAAAAAAAGCGAAACTCTAATACGCATTCCATTGAGTATTTCTAAGAACCTTGATGACTTTGATAAACAGTTAGCGCGATTGATACATTACGGTAGCGTAGCTCGATCATGGCTTCCGTCTTCTGATTCCATTGCACAAGTACGTTGTTTAATAAATATAGCTGCTTCTTGATCAATTTTTGCACGATTTCGAATTGACTAAGACAAGCAAAGTAAATACAAAAAACATTAAAACAAAAATCAATAAAATTTTACTTCATATACTCTTGGTTGAGCATTTTTATTTGGCTTTCTCAAACGTACTACTGATACAGGAATATCACGTATTGATGCACGATTTTTTAATGATTCAACAATCATCAATGGTACGAAGCATTCCCCAATAAAATGATCGTCTTTTACCATATCTTCATCCCAAACACTAAGACGTAAAACAGCACCCGATGTATGTACAATATTCAGTGGATGATGATCCCTTTAACAAAGAAGACAAAAATTTTCATTTGCAATGAAAAACTATTCGACTAAAAAACAACTCTACCATTGAAATAACTGACTCAAATTCTGGATCGAATGTTTGTTTTATCTTTTTTCGGTCTTTTTGGATAAAGTGTCAATGGTAATAATTCAAGGATAACATATGAATCTATTGAACCAAAAACATCCATCTTCGGTAAATCTCGACAAAAAAGAACTGTACATAGAAAACAAACAGGTATATATTTATTAATTTCAAAAATGAAGCAAACCAAGATACGTTGAACATAAATAGAAATAAGATCACTCACGACTTCATATACAGCACGAAATACAATTATACCATTATTTGTTGAATATGTATCCTAGGAAACAAATACATAGATATAAAAAATCTCAACAAAACTTTCAAAGCATATTTACAGGAGGACGTGTTTGAGTTATTTCTTGAAAATAAAGTAATTGTAATTGTTCTGTTGATATTACAAACTGTTCAAGTGTGCATCGCAATGTTGTAATTTCTTCACATCATGAACCAGGTATATGTTGTTCTTCACGACATACAATTTCAAAGTATGCAGTCAAATGATCAAATAATTGTAAAACATGTCCATAAAAATCTGGTGATTCTTGTAATGGTAATAATTCTCTGAAACATTGTAATGCTTTTATACGTATAGTACAAGCAACACGCAAATAATGAACTCTTTCGAGACCACCATACAGTTTAGGAAGAATTTCTTGGTCAAGATATTCACATATATCTTTCATAGGCTATAAATTATATTCGAAAAAAAACAAATACATATTTATTGATTTATTTGTTTGTGTATTTATTTTCTTACATTGACTTTTTTTATGTTCTTCATCTTCATAGTATTTGGAAATTTTCTCTTTCAAAGATACATAAAATAATGTTGCAAAACGTTCAAATATAACTTTAATGACATCATTCATTTCGTTTTCGGCTGTACTTATTAGACGTTCAAGTGTTACTTTTGTTTGTTGAAAATCTGCTGATTCATATCTTTCAATCATTTTATCAATAACAGACGAGAAGCATAATACGTCTGGTAATGATGAAAGAAGTCTTTGTTAAACATATTCAATATCATTAACTAATATGCATAACTAAAATGAATAAGAAAAGAATTCTAAAAAGAAAAGAAAATTCTTTTTCGATGAACTTTTTTCGAAACATTAAATGATTGTGTCCGATTTAAATCAGTAAAATATTTATTTTCGGATAATTTATGTGCTGTGCGTCTTGTATAAAGCTGACATTGTTCACATATTATATTTGTTAATTTAATTAGTCCTCTATAACGTATATTTACATCAGGATAATCAACTGATTCCCATTCTTGACAAAGCTAAATTAATTCATTTAATGCAAATATAACACAACATATAAAAAATATACCTTTATACATAGATTAGTAGCAGTCTTAGACAACAGAGAATACTGGATATAATCTTCATCATGAAAAACCTTAAAAGAAAATTGTATTTTGTTTCTCTGTTCATATAGACTGAATGTAACTTTGTCTTACCTCATTATCATCTTGTACTGCTCTTTCCATTATTTGTCTGATCTGTGCAACAAAACCTTCTAATAAAAATTTCATTATTAGTGAAAATCAATTATGATAGTCTACTAATTTAAATTTATATGCGTCTGTTTGCCAATCTCTATGTCAACAGAAAGAAAAATAAAACAATTACATTAATAAGAAAAAAGTAACGAAAATATACCGTGTTTCAAGAGTATCTCGAAATGCTGTAATAATTCTTTTTAGGCATAAAAATAATTTTAAAAGTACACTTGAACTTTGAATTAAATTCGGATCATATATTGATGATGTTGCTTTCACCATCGGTTTTGCATACTTTTGAAAATAGTCTATCATATTTTTTAATATACGTTTTGTTACTTCAGTTACCTAATAAAAACTAAATAATTTTTTTATGAACAATGTTGTAGAATATCTTACACGATGGCCAGCACTATTTTGTTCAAAAAAACATGTTTTTATATAATTAACATTGAAGGATGCAAAGAGTTTCTGATATTCTGTTATAATTGACATGGATTCAGCTAATTTTTCAACGAATTCAAAAAATTCTCGAACAGTATTTAATTGTATATCGTTTCTGTCCTGAAATACAAGTGAATGAACACTAAACGAATCATTGATATCCGTTTGTAGACGAGTTTTGATTGTTTCTTCAAGAAGTATTTTGGTTGTTGATTCATTTGAGCAAATTTTTAATTGAAATAAAGTACAAATTGTGCTAAAAACATTTCATTATTGAAACAGTTAGTATGTTCGATCGATTTACAAATTATCGATTTTTCCAGTTAGTAGAAAAAGATACATAGTATAGAAAAACCAGACCTATATTTTTTTTCCAGATCTATACGATTCAAATTTAATTATTATCCTACTAAAAGAGTTTTGCTGAAACTTCTCATTTAGCAAATGGCATCTTTTCAAAGTATGATTTGATATACAAAAACGAGAGCATTCCTTAAATCTAAACGCATTTCATTTTAGAGTATTCTGTTGACTAATTAATGATACACATCTGAAGGTTCTTTTTTGTAAAACCGAAGAAATTCGCTCTCTATTTGAAAGAAACTCTTAAGTCGAACTGTTTCATTTGTTTTTTTTCTTGATAAATAATCGACTTGATCTTATTATTTCATTGAAATCAAATACAAACATACTTGAGTATTCTTTGAATACTTGATAAATTTTCTGGCAAAGGTAAAAACCATGGTACTTTACTACATACGCGTTTTTTATAGTGACCAATAAATAAAGAAAAAATTCCTTCAAATACTGTTCTCTAAAATGAAACACAAAAGTTACTTCTTAAGTAATAACAACAAAAAGATTATATCATTTTTACTTCATAATCAGTCAAATCCGAATCATCAATATCAGTTCTTGGTGGCATGTGTTTCATAAGTGTGCTCAAATACTTTTCAATAACAACTTGACTTTTAAATAATCCATAATCTTCTGAATATCGAAGCTCTATGATAACAAGGAACTGTCTATTGATTTACAATGATAACATGATTAGTTTGAATTTTTTTTACTATTCAATGCTTACATAAATGCTTCTGACAGAACTGAAATATTGTATAAAATATGAAATGGTTTGAGAACACTATAAGATAGATTATTTAATGATCTATTCCAATCAATAACTGAATCATTTAACTCATTGTTTTTCTTCTAGAAAATAAATGAAGTTTTTCTAACTCTTAATTTTATAATTTATGGAATATCTTACTGTTTCTCTTGCATCTTCTAATTCATGTCGTATAACAATACGAGTTAGTTTATGATATTCTTCAACTAATGATGGAAAATCTGAATTAGCAACTGGTGTTATACATGAAACACTTTGACTGAAGTTTCTGTTAACAATATCTTCAACAACAACAAAAATAACAAAAATGTGTTTCATACACAAAATTTTATGAAATATAATCTGAAAGGAGTGTTAAAGTAAAGGAGTAAAAGTAGTAGTGAAACCAGAGCATGACTGAAGGGAGCATAGTCTCATTCAAAAACCTTTGAATTTCATCTAGAAATGAGAAGATCTTATATTAAAAAAAAAGTATCTTCCTTCCAACTTTACATCAGAGTTGATTCTTGCTACAAATTTTTTTCTGAAATCACTACTATGTAAAAATTTGACTGCTTCTCTTTCGACAGATCGTGATAGGCGTAACCAAGGAAATGCCCGGAACATGACAGACTCGCTGGCAGTGTCCGACGTCGATGATACATATGTTATATGTATGTTCAGTTATATTAGATACTCTGAAACGAATCAATGCCAAAGACTTTTTTTCAGAGGAGTCATTCGTACAACAACTTAACTTTAGCGATGTGACAGAAATAAGAACGTTGACTTTTGAGTAATTCTAGATTTTTAAGAAAGATCGATTTACTTTTCTTAAACAACCTGAAGAAGTATGAATGTATAAACGAAAAATAAAGTGTGGGTGTGGGTGGAATAGTAGTTTTTAAGAGGAAGGTTTTTTGGACTTTAAACTCGTTGAAAATTTCACCATAGACACGATTCGTATTGTAGTGTTTATGCTCAACATTTGTGACTTTTTAAATGATTAGAGAACTATTGGCTAATTACTTTTGACTTAATACCCTTTCTCAGAAAACGGCACTTTTCATAAGAATGATCGAAATGAGGACAATTGCAGGAGAAGACAGTCGGTGACAGATCTCTCATAGACGAGAAAATTTGTTACTCAGCAATTCATTTTTTCAAACATTTTTGAAAAATACTGAAAATCTTTTTCGGTTTTTCTCTGCTCAAAACAGCGTGTCACCATAGAGTGTCTACCAGAATGGTAGGCCTTGCATCCTGAAATGCCGTTTCAAATCAAAAAAATTAAATATATACAATGAGCCTAGACAGAAATTTTCGTTTGTCAAATAAGCTATTTTCGACTATTATTTAGCCAATATTTCCCTTAAAGGTCATGGTATAGGACTGAAAATTTTATCATAGGTTCTTGAACATGTCTTGAAACTATCATTCCATTTGAAGGTTCTTTTGCGGAGATCTCAGTAGCCAGTTGTAAATTTTCACATTTCTGCATATGTCTATACAAAAAGAACTTGTAGAGATAAATAACTCTTGTAACGATTCAAAGTGAAATGAAAGGCTGATATGTCTCATTTTGCTTAAGATGACCAATATATATATATAGATATATATATCTACTTACTGGGTGATTTTGGATAAGAAAAAGCTGGCATTGGTAATAGAAGAGAATTTTTCTGAGGAATTATTGGATGAGCTATAGTTGATGAATTTATTTGATCAAGAGCTGATGTTGATGATGAATGACGACCACAAAATTGTAATACACTACTATTTGATCCATATTGATGACTGTTTTTATTTGTATTATCCTTGAAACAGAAATAGTTGTTCATTTAAAAATCATGCAAACGCATCTATAACAAATGATGATAGTCTTTCCAATAGTATCAAAATGAAAATATAAAGATTCAGTAAGTCGATTGATTTGGTCAAATTGGAAATTATCTTTATGGAAAAAAACGCTTCGAATCGATCTTTTTACTCATCAATTTAAATTTAACTTGCAATCGAAGTAGAATTTCACGTCGTGGCTTATTATCATTTGAAAGATTTTGGTTCGATCCAGTTAAAGGAAACCATTGTTCACGTTCAAATGTAACTAATGACTATAAATGGAAAAAGAATCTTTAGATGGAAAAAATGTAATGTTAGAATCCTTGATGACACACTCCTAAGCAAGACGAAGACTAAGGTGTCCCTTCTATTCTAATTGACTCAGGACGTCTGTCCAAATAGCAAAAAAAATGTGTAGTTCGAATTCTATGAAGAACATTTTTTCCTTTATTCTGTCACATGACATTGACGACACTCTTCTGCATATATTAGGACTAAGATAAAGAAAACAACTAATGAAATTTGAATTACTTTAATATCAAGACTAACTTGACCAAGAAAGTTAGCTTCATTTTCGTCTGTTATTATAAGACTTTGCATTCAAGAGGTGTGCTAGATAATAAAATAGAGACGGACTATATTTCAAACGAAAAATAAGATTTACCGTGAAGCACCTATTTTGAGCTCTGGTGCTTGACCATGATCTGAATTGAATACGTTTATAAGTAAATATTGTTTTTGTATATTTTCTATCTCACTAAATAGATTAAAACGATACAAACACTACTTCAGAGATGATCAATAATCAAAAGCAAAATAAAAAAAACCATTAAGATTAGTCAACATTGTATAAAATTTTAAATCAAAATAAACAACATACAATTCAAAATGTTCATTCCATTCTGGATTGATAGTTTGTGGTTGAACTTGTGTAAGATAACTAATACTTTTCAATGTTTCGTCATCATTAGATGATACTGTTGTTGTACGATCTATTGAATATGTTCCACTACTGCTTTTACAACTTCCTTGCTTACAATTCGTCATTAATGGTTGGAATTGATTTCTTATAACTAAAAAAAAAGAACAAAAATATGAATATTGTTTTGAATGAAAAGCTTTTGTGATTCATGAAAAAACTTAATTAAATGATAAATCGCTTTTTATATGAGTCTTACCTTTTTAGATGCGACCTATTGAGACCAAAAAACATGAAAAGTAATTAGTCTCTATAGTTGGGTCAAATTATCACTCTCGTTGCTAAACTAAGAAATTTAAAGTATCTCGTCCCCATAGCAAGTCTAGACTGAGATATTCAATTTTGAACATATTCAGTTTTGGTTGGTAAGTATATAAATATGAAAACTATTCATATCCTATGCTACACATCGTCATCGGATTTTTCAAGTAGTACTTTTCTAGAATGTTGTTAAAAATTATGAATCACATTAAATTCAGCTTCTTCTAGAAGTTTACCCGTACTAAATTTGGAAAAGATGTTATGATAAACGAAACAATGAGCAAGATTGACAAAATCAACGATGTTTGTTCTTAAATTTATGATCTTTAGTATTTCGCTAATATCTATGAAGAGTGAGTCCTCTAAAAGTGTATTTGATACAAAGACAGCTTTTGTTTTTGTCATTTAATTGAACATATTCATCTTCAGTTGTAATTAATCTATTGTTTTCATATAAACCTGCTAGTATTTATGCCATTTTGATATATGGATAAACTTTCAAAAGAAGTTAAATCTAATACGATCCTAATGTGATGGATAATTTTCAACAAGATTCCAAAAAAAAAGTTATTCGTATGCTTACTAACAAAAGTTGTGTATATATTAAATATCAAATATCTCAGTCTAGACTTGCTATGAACATACAATATTTAAAATTTGTTAGTTTGGCCATGGGAGTGATAACTTGATCGGAACATGGTTAATCTTCTTCATGGACAATATAAAATGTTTAATTGTAAGTTGCACTTCATGATGGTTCTATTCCTGCGTAGTTTTCTTTCACCGCTCGCTCACTTTTCTTTTCTTTCCTCTTATATGAATTTTCTCCTTGCTGTTCTCTGTATTATAATGTATAAGATTTTTACTTTCGCTCTCATCACTCTTGTTCTAATTTTTTTTATCTTATTCATCAACATAGACATTGTCATAACATCCATTTATACATACAGAATGTGATTTGACAATAAACAACATTCCGATCTTACCTTCATCTTTTTTGATCTACAGGGTTAGCCTCTTAAGAGATTGACATTCTTTTACAATGTTGAAACTTTCCACAAATGAATTTCTCTATTAGACTAGTTGCTGATGAAAGTTTCAGATTTCTAGTATCTTCTATTCCCAGATAGGAATATTAAAATTCTGTCATGTGAAAAAACAAAATTATTCGTATATTCAAATTTTAGGATAGGAGACAATAGAAAATGTAAAACGTTCACAATTTATTAACTGTGCTCAGAACATTATTTTTATCAAGTTTGAACTTGAAGCTCAAGAGATAATTTTGAAGATAACTTGAATAGAACCACGACAATTTGCTGTAAAAATAGGTTAAATGACCATAACTAAAGAAAAAAGATTTATGTGTATGAGTCATTTTCGAATTTTTCTAGTCTCAATAGTCTCTCTCTAATGACATAAGCTTTATGCAAAAAGTGATCCATGGCCTAGGAAGGTGTTCTCGTCTAAGATGATTAAGTGATTTTGAAGGAGATATAGATGATGATAATGTTTACTTAGTTGAATTATCTTCAATACTGGGAATATGTATCCCACTTACATTGCAATAAGGATCCATAAGGCCTTTTCAAAGAAGAAATATAGAAAAATAAAATATGTTCAAAATAAAAACAAACCATTTTGATCTTCACCAGATAAATTACGTGCTCTTTTAACATCAACAGATAGCCTAACAGACCATGACTAAATATTATATAGAAAAAAAAAAGATTATTTGTTTTCGAAAAATACAAGCAAGAGAAAAAATACGCTTACATCCATTTTAAGAGCTTGATCATATTTTTGTTTGTTCTTTTGGATCAAAATTAAAAAGCTAATAAAACATACAGGAAAATTTTTAGTTTCATTCAATCTTTATTTTGGATATATACTTCAGCAACATGTGCAGCAAGTTCATCTATTGTTGCTGCTCGTTCAAACACATGTAATGGACAACAAACAGCATGTACTGCATATTCATAGAGATATTTCTAAAATAAACATCATTCAAATAACAAAATTCAGCAAAAAAAAGCAAAGCAAAAAAGAGACTATACAAATATGATGACATATCAGAGATGTCCATCGCGGCTGAAAATCTGCCGCTGCCGCGCCGCGGCCTTAGAAAAAAAAAGCTGCCGCACCGCTGCCGCGCCGCGGCGGTTTATAAAAAAATGTTGCCGCGACGCTGCCGCACCGCGATGACTTATAAAAGAAACGCTGCCGCGCCGCTGCCGCGATGAATTATAAAATAAACGTGCCGCCACCGCGCCGCTGCCGCGACGATTTTCAAAAAAGTGTTTCTAATTTCACTGCTGTGACTATATTTGACCAGAGATATGGGTACTAGTCCATCAGATTTATTCAATATCAGGGCGTTTCATTTGTAAATCGTGAAATTCCATTAAATTCATACAGTTTTTCAATGTCCTCCAAAAAAATCCTGCCGCTGCCGCGCCGCTGCCGCGATGGTTTTTTAAAAAACCTGCCGCTACCGCGCCGCTGCCGCGATGACTTTTAAAAAAATCTGCCGCTACCGCGCCGCTGCCGCGGTGATTTTTTTTAAAAACCTGCCGCTGCCGCGCCGCCACCGCCACCGCGGCAGCGGCAGCGGCAGCGGCGGCGGCGCGGCAGCGCCGCGATGGACATCTCTGTGACATATTATACTTTGTATAATGATGATTTATTATTTTGTTTTCTATTTATCATGAAATCAAAATCATATGATGAATTGGACAATAGATATCATAAAAATACTTGGTATTTGATGGTGTGGGTGGGCGTGGGTGTGAGTGTGGGTGCGGGTGTGTGGTGCGGGTGTGATTCTTGACATTAATTTCCAACGCACACCCACACGCACACCCACGAACACCAAAGGAAGAGCACGCGACACGACACCAGCGAAAAGAAATGGAAAGAGGTAGAAAACAAACGGACATAGCAGTGGACACAAGAGAACACCAACGATCAACGAAGGAAGACAAGTTCACGTCAACGTGCGTGGAATGAGAACAAAGAGGAATCTTGATTAGAAAGTTTCGGGATATTCTTGGAGAAGTTGAACATCTTCCATCTCGAAGAAGGAGATTGATGAAGAACAAGGAACTGACCTAAGCCAGGAGACAACTTTTTCTAATATGGAGGTGCACTCAACGAATCAATTAAAATTATTAATTAGCTTTGAGCTTAATTGATTCATTATTCAACCAATAATAAATCAATTTCTTTTTGTTGCACACTTATGTCATTAAAGGTATTCTCTAGAAATTGGCAAAGTTTCAAGGTACCTGATGATGAGAACACATTTTCCTCCAGTTGAATTCAATTTACACACTTCATTGTTTCATGTAACCTTCTTGAAACTGAATAAACTCTGGTCCTTTTAATGCACATGCCAATCGTGTGATGTATTCATTGATTTTTAAAATCAATATGAACTACTTGCGCATTTCAATGTCACTGTTACAAAAAAAAAACAATTATTCAAACAAACTATGAATGAAAGCTTCTTTGTTCTTTTCGCTTGTTTTACTAATACACTCGTTTATTGATGTATGCACTTTATCCCTTTCACACTATTCACATGGTATTAATGAGTTCTTGTTCTCTATCAATCTTCCTTTTTTTTCAATTTATTATTTAAGAGTCACAACATAGAGAATGATCCATACTTTTTCGTTTATTGTATATTGAATAAAGCATACCCGCTTTCTTTGAAATAAGACTTTCTGCACATATTTCGATCGACCATCATTGTCACTTCACCAGCGCAGGTTGTACTGTTCAGTCAGTCATTGAAGCAGTATTATTTGCCGAGTTGATTGATTCGTTATAAGCTCTGTCACACGATGCTTTGATTTATATCCTTTTCTCGGTTTTGCTCTCTAAAGCAACATGCTCGGTAAAATAATAGTTTGCTTTTCTCCTATTGTAATTGTATTTTGATCACTCTATCGATGAAAAGATTATTTCCATTATCTAAGCTTTTGATTGAACGCTAAACAGAAAAAGAACTATGATCTTATCGTTTTCTTATACGATACATCCACACCCTATTTTTTTCAGACTCTGTTAGCATGGTATAGGTGGTGTTGCGAAAGGAGATTCTTTTTCAACTTACCAAACATTGAAACATAATAAGCATCAAAAAAGAGTAGGAGATTCACTTCCATCAACGGTGTTCGTCATTGTCATCCGCAGTATTATTCACAGTTCATCCGTTCCTTTGCCAATCACTACCATGTAAGACAACTAGAAAATTACGATTTCCATTTTTTGCAGCAGTTTCCCTCGGTTTTGAGTCACACAAATTTTATTTTTATTCAAACAAAACAAATGTTATTCGATATGTATCATCGAGCTTCATTAAATGGGTTAAATCGTGGAGTGAATCGACAGGTAAAAGCTCTTTCCCAGTAGGAGAAAACCAAATTTTTTGGTTTCATTTTTTTCGGTTAGATCTGACTCCTTTATTTGATATTCAGATTCGCTAACTCGCTCGAGCTAATCCTTTTAGAATAAGCTCAAATCGACTGTTATAACAACATAGAATAACAGTGTACAGATGTACGATGGAAAAGAAAAATCCTTGACTTATTCGAATAAATTTGGTCTTTTAGATCAACATGGCAGAAAAAAAGGTTTCTGTCAACAGACTTATAGCATTAAGCCAGGAACATGATGAATCGTATCGATCCTTATTAGCTGAATACTTAGCGGAAAAAAATGGAAGAAATCTTGAGCCATTTACTCTCATATGGTGTGATCCATCTGTAAACAGGATCAATGATCATCAAAAAATTCAACATGAATTACGCCATACAATCAATTATATCAAAATATTCAATAATACCAATGAATGCCAAGTATATGTCAAAGAAACTACAACTGAGAAAGTAAATTGAATATATTGAACTTAGTGAGATCGGATATATCTTTTGCAGATGATTATCATTATTTCAAACGATCCTGACCATCGATTTCTTCACTATATTCACAACGAGATACAAGTTGTTGCTATCTATATTTATAGCGAAGACAATAAATTATCAAACGAATGCCACAGAGAATATCCGAAGGTAATACTTCAACTCAGTATATACATACAAGAGAAAAAAAAACTTCTGAAGTTTTAGTCTCATGGTTCTGAGTTTTCTGTTAACTAGGGATTTATAGTATACGAATATAAGAATATAATTATGCTTAAATCTTTTCAGATCAAAGGTGTATTGACAGATCCAATAGAATTAGTGAAGAAGATTGATATTGATCAGAAAAAACGACAAAAACTGGAAGATTCAATAGGGTGTGTTAGTAGTTTTTTTAATCCAGATGGTCAATCCACCAAAAATCTACAAAGTGAAAATGGAGATTTCATCTGGCTTCAATTATTTATCGAAAGTTTACTTCGCATGTCCGATGCTGCTCTTCTTCCATCTCGAAACGAGTTTCTTGAATTTCTTCGTCAACAATATCATGATAATAATGATAGACTTCGTATTATCGACGATCTCAAATCAAGTTATCAAGCAAATCAAGCAATAAAATGGTACACTCGTGCTTCATTTCTTTATGATATTATGAATAAAGCATTTCGTCAGCAAGATTATGTACTTCTCTTTACACTTCGCTTTTTCATTCACGATCTATTTTACTCTTTGGCCGAGCGAAAGAGATTCGAACAATCCTTTATCACTCTTTATCGTGGTCAAGCTCTTGACGTTACCGAATTAAATAATCTAATTGAAAATCAGGGCAATTTCATCACTATGAACAGTTTTATATCAACAAGTCGAGATCGATTAGTAGCAACTGGTTTTGCGGCATCGTCTATTGATCCAAATAATGTTCGATATCGTTCAGTTCTGTTTGAAATCAATGTTAATACGACTCGCGATGATGTCAAACCGTTCGCTGATGTAAGTCAGGATAGCCAGTTTTCCGATGAAAATGAAGTATTGTTCATGGCTGGATCAATCTTTCGCATTGTTAATGTTCAAAAGGTTTCTCAAGATGATCCGGTTTGGTTGATCAAGTTGGTCTTGTGTGGTGAAGAAGATTATCAATTGAAAGAAGTTTTCACAAGCTTGAAAGTCGAATTAGACGATGAAACTGATATGGGATCTGTAGGAAAAGTTTTATTCGACATGGGCAAAGGCGAACAAGCGGAAATAGCTTTTGAAATTGATAGGCAAGACACAAGAATTAGAACCAATGGAGAATTTGGCTATCCTTTAGAAGCATACATTCCAGGACAATATGATTCAGAAACAATGAAAGAAGCACAAGAATTAGCAGCAAAACTTATAGAAAACAATGACGATCGAAGGCTACTTGTATTTTGTTACAATATTATGGGTTCAATCTACAGAGATCATCACCAATATGATAGTGCACTTGAAAATTTTTCAAAAGCACTCGATGTTCTTCTTAATCTTTATGATCAGGATCACCTTGAAATCGCAATTTTTCATGAATTTATTGGTCAAATCTATGAAAAACAAGAAAAAATGCCATCGGCAATAAAATCATGGACAGAATGTCTTCGAATCAGGCAACATCTTTTGCCAGAAGCACATCCAATAATTGCCTTGACATTTCGTAATATTGGAGACTTGTACAATAATGTGGACGACTTCGATAATGCACTAGTAATGTATGAAAAGGCGCTAAAAATACAATTGCTCTCTTCACCCTCGAATCATCCGTCTATTGCAGAAACATATCAATGTATCGGTTGGGTTTATGAACAAACCAAGGAGTTTCGTTTAGCATTGAAAAACTATACTAGTGCTTTTAAAATTCTACAAGCATCTTGTCCACCAACTGATGCATCACTCCTTCAAATTCAGGAAGACATTGACAATATGAGAAGAGAATTAAATGCAAGTTCTGAGAATCGTTTTCATTAAGCTTATTGTCAATTTCAATCATCTTTTCCTAGGTCCATCGTTCCGGCCATTGGATATTGCAGGAACCGGCAGGAAAATGCGGGAAAAATCACTGTATCCTGCAGGAAAACACCGGAAATAGCCGGAACATGGAAGCAGTATTCCGGCCGAAAATT